AGAGCCAATTTAATCGAAAGAAAATAATCATAAAATGAAGTTTGGAACATTTGCACAATGATAAAGCAGCAAATTTGTAACAATTTTTTAAATAACAGGATCATTTTTTTCCGCAAATTTTTTCTTCAAGACTCTCAAAAAAAAAATCTCAAGCAAAAAAAAAAATGGATGGATGAAGAACAGTTGTTATTGCACGTAAATCTCATATCAAAATAATAAAGAAATTTGCTTTTAGTATAGTGTTATTTCTTTTTTTAAAAACAGGAATAATGAAAATTTCGATATAATAATTTTTGAATTGAAATATGAAACTTTGAATTGTGCTCTGTCGATTCGATCCTCATTTCAGACCATTTTGTTGTTTATGAGCAGTGAAATATTGTTGCGGTGTTTGTTTTCTCTTAAATATGATAAATTCTAAATGAAGCTGTCTTTGAAAATGAAGAAAAGTTAAAGCAACAAGCAAGGAAGCATACACACACACACACACGCATACAGAGAGAGAGGAAGAGATGGAGAGAGAGAGAGGGAGGGAGGGAGAGAGAAGGATTCTGTCTAATGAAAGTGGAGATGGATAATGAAAGGAAAAGCTTAATCTGCCTGGTAGCTTTCCTTCCCTCCGCCATTTTGCTTTTCCTCTGTGATAATGAGATATCACACCTTCCTTTGTTTCTTTTTTTTTCAATGTTTATTATCGATTCGATGTAAATGTTTGTTATTGAGTAGCTTTTCAGCTTTATTAATTTATTGTCCACAAAAAAAAAGAAAGAGAATTTATCGGTGATGGAGAAGAATGTATTAATTTGGTTGATGTATTTTGATGTAATTATTGTTGAAATAGTTTGAAATGGAAATTGAAAGTTTAGAATGCGGAATTTAGTTGTAATAGTGATAATAAGCAATATAAAAAGAAAAAGGAATGTTTTGTAGCAAAGAAATAACTGAATGAAAATAATTTAACTGAATGAGAAAAATAATTTAAAGTTAACAGCTGAGGATTGTTGATTTAGGTGAGATTTTGAAAGTAAGCAGCTGACGCTATCAGATGATTCAGTATGGTATTAGTTCGTTAACGATATTATCACATGGTTAAGAATACTCTCAGATTGGTTGAGGGTACTATCAGATGGTTGTGCATAGTGATACATTACATGCATAGTATTTGATGAAATATATCTTTGTCACAGCACAAATGTTCTCCTAAATTGTCTGATCAGAATTACAAGAAGAGTGATAAGGTGTACAAAACATATTAGATGTATATCTTCAATGTTATGGCGGTAATTATCAACAACCATCTTTGATCATGAATTTAGCTAATGAATTAATATGCGCCAAAACATAAGTCTGAATTTGATTTAGCCTGAATCCTTAGCTTATTAATTTAAAGATGGTAGAATCAAATTAATTAATTAATTAAGAAAAATCTTTGACAATGCAATTCATTTATCCATTTGTTTGGGTGAGAGGTATAGTGATATAAACAATTAGAATCACTGGCTTATAGAATGATAAGAAAGATATTTAACAAATCTAGTCAAACTTGAAAAAGTGTTAATTGCTGTGTATTTTACTCAAAGACTATCGATGTTTTCAGGTTAAAGAGATATAAATGAAACATGAATATACAACATTTTTTGCCTGTACAGCTTTCTTTCCTCCTATTATTATTACTGGTGATAAAAGAATGTGGATGTAAACGAGGTGGTATACTTGGCGGTCGTGGTACATCAGGTAGTCGATCCGGTGGTTTATTTGGTGGTTGGCGTAAGAGTGGTGGTGGATCGTTTGGCTCGGGATCTGGTCCTGTGAAATCTGGTTATCCACGGAGAACGTATGGAGGTGGTAACATTGGTAGAACGAGAAGTGATCGTTGGGGTAGCAGCTCACGTACTTCGTGGGGGCGACCACGTGGTGGCGGCTTGTATGTTTTATTTTTAATATTATTACTTTACAATAGCGCCATTTTTTAGTGTCTCAAATAATTTTGGAATATTTTTATTGTTTATCGCTTTATTTTTTTAAATATTAAGTTTTGATGAAGTGGATTTAAATTATTTTTAAAAGTTTTAGTACCAAAAATCATTAAAGTTTGATATTTGCATTCTTCGACTTATTTTGTAATTTTTTTTTAAAGGTTTACCAAATCAAACATTGGCTCCTTTATCGCTGGTGCTGCAGCTGGTTACCTCACTTATAAGGCTGGCAAAGCATTGATACGAAGTGCTCATGCACCAATGATGTGCGTTTTTCATCTTCAGCTTTCTCAAATTATCTCATCTTTAATAAGTTAACAGGTAAAGAATATCATGAGCAATATTATTGTTTGAAAAACATAGTACAGTAATATTATTTCATGAAAAAATTCAGGTGGAATAATCGACCATATTATTGGGGTTCCAATTACTATCGTGGTGGCTACGGTACACATATGTGTCGCATGCCTATTGAAGGAGATGATCCACAGTTGGGTAATGTATACTTCGAGGATGGTGGAAGACCGAAAGAACTTGTCTGGAGTTGTAATTATGATGAATATTGCTGTGGCTATGACTGCTGTTGGCGCGGTGGTGGCACTTCATCTTTTTGGAGTCGCGGGTTCGGCGATATCCTTCTAATTCCTGTTGCTATCATGCATTTCGTTTGAAATTTCAAAATCATTAGAATTTTACATATCATTACTGTAATTAGGGAGGTTATATGATAGCCTTATTATATGGCTTCCTAGGTCGTAATAGTGTCCGGAATTTACGAAGATTTAATTGATTCTAATCTAAAAAAAATCGAATTTCGCTTATAACTTTAAGGAAATTTATTGAATATCCGAAGATTCACATTTCATTTGTATTTAAATAGTAAATTTTGAGAAGCAAAAAAAAGGAGGCAGTATAATTTTTCTTTTTCTATTATTAAGTTCACTTTTACAAAGTTTTACATGAAATAAGTTTGAAACGAACGACCTGTGAATTTCAGCCGGAGAACAGTGGAAGATTTGTCAGTTTATTTTATGTTTATACTTATTAACTTTTAAAAATTGAGATTATATTTAATTGCTATCATACTTTAGAAATGTTATGGTCAGGTGATATTACGATGTTTCGCGCATGCTGTGATACCAAAAAAATCTGTCACATCTTGGGAATTCAATTTTTTTCCTTCATTGCAAACTATTCACCAACATATTTTTGACATTCAGCTAAAGAATATTTAAATTTTTTATATGTCCTATCATTCTCTTTTTAGTTAAATTTTGAATCTTTGAAGGTGACAGCATAATATATTGGTCATGTAGTCTTGTAGAGATGGAAATACATTTAGAGAATTGGCACTAGATGATCTAAAGTGATCAAAGGGTCAAAGGTAGATGATCTGAAACGGTCAAATTGTATCTGAACGGACGTTTTTTCAACAGTGGGATATATGGTAGAGAAAGAGAAAGAGCGCTCATATGATTTAAATGAAAGTTGGAAATTTTGTAATGAAACACTATGGGATTAATTTCTCGATAATTTTTAACGCTTTAAATTCGAAATTTAGATATGAGTACCATATTATTGAAATCAGTAAAATTATTGTTTTGAGGATTGAGAAAAAGGTAACAATCATTTCCTCGATATATCTTTTTCTAATTTTCTTTTTGCTATAAATTTTAAAAATAATAATGAATAATAATACAAGTTATGTTTTTTCACACAAATTTTCATTACAAAATTTCAAAATTCATCGGGTTATTCTGATATACATATTGAATTCTAAATCTATGAAGTGATCATTAAGCGCTTTTGAACAAGTTAGAACTAACACTCATTTACCTACGCCAAAACGCGACATCAATATTTAACAAACAGAACTACATTCGGTTTATTTCCAAACGCTGCTATCGTTAATTCCTATTTGTTCATTTTGGAATCAGAAACTTAAGTCTAAATTTCGCACTCTTTTAGATTGCACGACTATTTCACAATTTTGTTAGTCTTAAAATCTCCTCATCAAAGCTACAATCTTAGCAGATGACCATATAAGAGCACCACTTAAAGTTCGAAAGATTTTTTCGATTTGTCGATAATAATAATCATTTATAATATCCGAGCTCGTCTGCTTTTGCTATTTGGATTGTGCTACTTCTTGATAAACTGTGCAGTTGGCTAACATTCAAGAGCGTATAATTTACCAAGTCAACAAACTTTTTATACTGTATCACCACCCTGGTTACGTTCAACAATTTCAATATTTTGTAACACTGTTTCAGGCACAACTTAAAGAACTATCAAGAATAAAGCAATCACAGACACCAGCTATCTTTTTTTCTGCTCCAGGATTTAATAATTTGGTGCTCAAGAGTGCCCATATGGCATCTTCAAATAAATTTCGAACTTTCTCGGAGTTTTTCACTTTATAACAATGGCATGTAATAATAGCAATTCGAGGAGAATTTTATTTTCCTTGATGACAAAATACGCTGAGTCATTGACACATAATGATCGTGCATTTAATTGCATGTTATTATTGAACTTTGAAACCTGTGATATCAGTACTTCTCGTTAGTAGATTTTAACTTATTTTTCTTGATGGTGAAATGTAGTATTAAGTTATTGGCATTTAATAGCGCAATTAATTCATCATATATTCATTAAATGTTATGTTTTGTGACAATCTCCTATTAATAATGAATTCGGCTCATTTTCACGATCGATTTATTCAAATGACATTTTCTTTCATCCAATCTAAAATTTCCGACAAATTGTTCGAAAGCCCTAACTGCTGCAATTCTAATTTCCTTTTTCTCATTTATAGCTTCGTTAACAACAGCTGAATACTGGAAAAAATTCGTGGTTTTAGTATACATATATTACTTTTAGAATTATAAAAAAAAATTAAATGACAGTACCAATAAACACACAAAACGAATAGGTATGAGGATAAAATAATGGAAAAGAAATAAAACAATCTAACTGAACTGGAAAGTTCTGCAACAGACGGAAAAAACATTTTTCAAAATTTTATGCATCACATCAAAAAATTCCAGGGACACTGGAAAATAATGAGTTATTCATCAAGTGCAGACTTTTCAGGTGGCGGCCCGCAAGGCGCAATCATCTGATTCAACAGACTGAACCGAATCCTAGCTCGCGATTCATTTTCGCATACTGCTATCAAACTTAGATGATCTGGGTGGCCTGAAATTATCTCTCTTCTCCAGAGAAATTATAGTTTAAGATTTTTTTGCCAAGCATTATCTATGTTATTATACCAAAAATTTTTTTTTGCTTTCCAAAGGATAGTTTTATGCAATACCATCCTTTCAAAAAAGAAAAGATTTCCAAAATGACTTCAAATTACTAAATCCTCTAACAATAATTTACCAATCATCGATGCATACGTGTCACGATGCTGATTGACAAGCCATTCCCATCTCGTTGTATCGGCATGTCCTGTACCTGTATACTTTGATTGCAAATGATCAAGCTGTGAAAGTACATGAAATCGTTCTGTTGGCGCGGCCATCGATAATGTTACGACAAATCTGAAAGAAACTCATAAAAAATCATACTTAGAAACTTAGCAATAAACATTTTTGAGTTAGTAGCGTACTTTTTGACCGCAGACAAATGCTATTCACCCCTGCACAATTCATTCGATTAGATGATAAAAACATTAATAAATTTGTCTGCTGTCAAAAGTTTTCCAATTGTTCACAATAGCATTCCTAACCCGCAAAATAAAAATGAAGAAAATGTCTTCATTATATTAGAAACAACAAAAGAATTCAAAAATGAATTTAAAATTGCTATATATTTTCCTTTTATCTAGAGAGACAGCCATTCATTGATATGTTCCAAATAGAAGTTTAAGAAAACAACTAGTCATTGAAAATGTACGAGCAGAAAAAATTATTTATCATGAAATACGTACCTATAATGGTGACAAACTATACAGACAAATGAAAGTTCCTAGATATAATGAAAGTTAACGGAAGTTAAATCAGTCTCTAAAATATCAACGAATAAAAATTGCATTTATCACTTATAAATATATACTCTCACAGTATTAAAAACCACTAAAAATCATCAACGTAATGAAAATCATAACACAGAATTAATGGAAAAAACTAGAATTCATGATATCAAAATCAGTCAATAATTATATCATATGCTGTAAAGATCACATTTGTTATATCACATTACATCGCTACATCACATTTGAGACGAAGTTAGTTATATATTTGAATTTAATTTGTGCTGGATCATATTGTGCATAAATGATTACTGTAAAACTGGATCCGTGATGTTTCAAAAAAATCTTCAATAGCTTTTCCACAGCCCTTAACGGCGGATGATAAAAAAACAAAGCTCTCTCTCGAATATTCCTACTGATGTTCATTATAAAGACAATCTTTCCATCAATGCTTGATATAAAAGCAATATGCATTATTTTTCAAAAGTAACAAATGATCACCAAAGTACTCGGTATTTGAGAAAATTAATATAAAATTATATTATTATATTAACATTACATTAGAGTTGCATTAATGAATCCGTTTTAATAGAATAATAAACAAAGGGTTAGCAGCAACTATAATAGTTAAGCCTATATTAATTTAATTTCCTTACCTACACAATGTTTGCAACAAGTAATTGTAATATTCGACGTATGTGAAACCGGCTTATAAATTTTCTCATCACATGGTGAACGTTCAAAAAATGTCGACAAATCAATTTCTAGTATTGCACGAGCTTCTTTTATCAATGCTTCTAAAACCGGAGACGTGAGCTTTTTTTGTATCTGATCCTGGTTTATAACAAGAAATTTGTTAAGCAATGCTTGAATCTGCTTGCAATAAGAAAACAGACGAGATCGTTGATTACGCATTTCATCCGCTCGAATACTCATCGCCAAGAATTTACAACGCCACATATCAGCTAATATTGCCAAATCTTCAGCTCTATCATGATCATGCGATATCTGAAAAACTTTTTTAAGAAGATAGAAATACTTCATATTTAACAAATGTCCTGCAGAACCATTCGAAATTTCGCGGCTTCTCTTGAAAATTTAACACTACTTAGAAAGTTGAACAAAAAAACTAGGGAAGTTAGTGAAGCTTATAGAATTAATTAGTGGATCCAAAATCTATTTCGAAAATAGTGCTTCACGTTGCAAACCAAGCGAAACAACACTGCAAGTTCAATAGAAAAAAAATTTCTACATATGAATTAGAACTCCAACCTGCGCTTCAAACTTCGTCATCTTATGAGCAAGACGAACTTTATCTTCGCTAAGCGACTTCACATGACATGTCAAATCATCACCCATCGTAGCAACAAGTATACGCTTTAATTCTTGTGTTAATTGTCTTTCTAACTGAAAAAATACAAAAAAAATCTATAAAGTTAGACAAAAGATATATAGTTTTGAATGCATTATCAAAAATTCGACTATCGCGTCGGGATTCTCATAGCGCATTCAAAAACTTTCCCTCCCTTTATATATTTATTGGGAATTGTAGTGAAAAAATATGCATTAGTAAAATTAGAAAAGTTTCTTCTCATTTACAAAGTCGAGGTTGAAAAAGGACAAAATTCAATTATCAAACCTCGAGATCTTTCTTTAGCCTTCTAAGTTCCTTTGAATTATCAGTATTTTCTTCTTTTTCAATTTCAACATTCCCACTTAACGGTGAAGATTCTTTTCCGTCACCAATTGGGCGTATTCTCGACAACTCATAAATTTCCACCTTTCCAGAATCCACTAAAAATTAAATAATCGAAAGGAAAATGAAACAAATTATGAAAAAAACCATTTCGTCACACATATCTCTAACTCTTCTGACAATTTCTTTTGAAACAGTTCATGAACTGGTTTAAAATGCATGAAATAAAATTTGGATTCTAAAAATCATCGACCGAAATTACAATTCTAACGCATATCCGAAGCGTGAAAACTGTTTTTTTCTTTTTTAAATGAGAATGCAGTAATAAATAAGCAAATGCTTACATCTCTACAAAACTAGAATTATCAGAAAAAATACCGCTTTCTGAGAACTGTCCCTCAGTAGTTTCTAATTCAGCTTTATTTTTCGACCCAACAGAATCCGGTTTCACAAATTGATACTTGATTAAAGGTGGAAGAACACCAGGACGGCTTCCTCTTTCATAGGCCGATATTGCTGCCTGAAATATGCAACGAGTACTTTTTGAAATGGAAACCAAAATTTAATAAAACCTACAAACCTCGCTTAGATATATCAGCACATATGTTTCAGACACATAGTGTAATTGAACATCCTTATTTTCAAATATTAAAACTTGCTACGAAAGTTGTCAAATATTAAAATACAATGAAATTTGATATCTGAAACTTTAAGCAACAACCAAATTCCTAACGGAAGTAAGGAAAGCACGCTCATTTATCATTTACTTATCGTTCCCTAGCGATTACAAATAATAAGAGTTATGACTTTCGAAAATAATCAAATTTAACAAATATGGAATAGCCAATATTACCCAGGAATTCATCCTGGGAGAATGGTAAGTGATCAAAATCCACTCATTTTAACTTTCGCTCAAAAGAACTTATTTGCTCAGAATCATGAAAAAGCTAACGACAACATACAATTCGTACTAATATAAAACAAAAGAGAATGTTTACTTTAAATTATTTCTTATTCTTACTATTAATTTAAAATTCATTTGCTCAACAAGTAATTTGACCCAAATAATAGTCGACTCTACATAACTGAAAAAGATAAATAATCCGCCGCTGATGAAACAAAAAATCGAATTTGTTAAATAAATATGAGGATAACTTAACAACTGATATGTGAAGTGTAAAATCAAACTTATATCACCAAGACGAAAGCATTTGAGAATGGCATTCCATTAATACTTTAATCAGCTGTGGATTCTTTTCTTCTTTATAGTGTAAAGAAGTGATTTTTTAGGCCCAACATTTAGAGAATGAAGACTAAAACCTAAGCGATAAAATAGGATTACACTTGGTCAGCCAAATTTAGGCTGATGTTTCGTTAGCTCTAAAAAAGCCATTAAACTAAAGCAGCTTCAAGAACCTGAATTTTACCTTATAAGGCTCCCATGGGACAATTCCTGACGCGTTGCGTTTCTTTACGTGTAGTTTTTCTTCCATCAACAATTGGCACCCTTAATATGAGTTTAACTGGGCAAGACAAAAAATAAGTTCCATGAGCTTCAAACACATGATTATGCTTTCTTCTTTTACAAATTTAGCCTTGGTATTCAGTATTCACATAACAAGATTTGACGAGTAATAATAAAACGTCGATTAGTTTATATGTTTGGAATTGGCATGGCTTATAAAAACTTCCTTAATATAATGTCACATTAAGTGATCACTCTAACCACTTGAAATTATGATTTAAATCAATAATGTTTAAATACTATAGGGACTAGATATTTCCATTTCTTTAAAATTCAGTCTTAAACATTTGTTAGATATATTACTTCAAACAAAACTAAGAAAGAAGGAAAATAACCAAAAGAATGGGTAAATCTTTATATTCTATCAATGTTTTATTATCATTTTGATTCAGTGAACAAAAAAACAATGAAATAACACTTTCTTCACACCAATATAAAAAGCGAGAAAATTTCAAATTAAATCAACCACGAATTAATATTATAAACAGTTATCAGAAAGGAAACAAAGCAATGACTTTATCGCAAATAATTGAAATTATAGGGAACAAACAAACCGGGTGAACTATTAACAAGCCAATATGAACGCCCAAGCGTACACTTTTTGCTTTTAGCATTGGTGGTGCTTTCACTATTACGGAATGACTTCCTCCGTAACATTTGATAAAGTGAATAGCTGCAATGAAAACAATGTGCTAACTGTTTTAATTTTCACTTGCTCAATTACAAATAATTACATTAATAATCTTTTAACAAGGAAGATAGCTAAATAATGAGATTATTTATATATAATACTCGAAACACTGAAATCAGAATGTTAAAATGAAAAAAATGTCGCAGTGAGGTGATTTGATACTTACAGTATAAATTCCATATAAAATTACCAAAGAAACTTTATTCCCAGTAAATAATTTTAGCAAGGAAAAGACATGTCAAGTGTTTAAAACACGAAGAAATTGTAAGAATTATAAACATCACAGATTTTTGGCAGTCATATTTCCTGAGAAACTATAAAAAATTCCAAAAATTTGATAAAATTTTTTCGAGAAATTTCCAAAAGAGGTGAGAACGTAAAGCCTTGAAAAAAAGAAATCACTATAACTTGTTCGATTTTCACTACAATATCTTATCGAAGTATAATTTCTTTTCAGAAAAATCTTTGAAACACTGGGCCCTCATGCTCCATATGTAATATCCTTTATCATTTATGTAATATTCTTTATATTATTTCAAAGCTTTTGTCACAACGTTTTCAATATAATTATAATAACTTTAAAAACATAATAAACTTGAGATCATTAGAGTAATTTGCTGTCCTAGATTTTATGAACCGCTATAAATTCAACACGAATGTTTCAAATTGCTAAACCATGTATGGTTTAAGTTTCCAAATCACCACGTATTAAAGGTACTACTAATTACTTCTTTACACTGTGAAGGCTGCATGCAGGTACTTCGTCCAGGGTTTTACCACTCGAAGCCAGTCATTTAAACCAAAATGAAGTAAACGATTTTCAGCAGTTCTTTCACCCTACAATTATCTTAAAAGTTAAAAAAAATTCTTTAACCTTAAAAGTTTAAAATATTCTTTAACAAGTCTAGGTACAATACAATCTTTGCAAAGTGGTCCAAAATTCAATTTCCTAAGATTTTCATTGGACCCAGATTTGAATTCATGTAGTACCTGTTCCAATTTTCGCCTTGTAAACTCTCGTAATTTGTGAATTTCTTCAACCAAATTTGCTATTCGTGGAAATACGCAGCACTCCGCACTTTTGGCAAATGATGTTATCAGGCGTCCAAAAAGTAAAAGGCGTAACATCGTCTTCACAAGCATATCACCCGATAGCGAATGCGGTTCCACTGAATCCGCAAACATTTCATTCCTTCCCTCAAATAAAGTCATCTATAAAGCCATTTATATAAATTACGAGATTACAATTTTTTGTTCCTAAAATTTCTAATATATAAAAAGTGAACAAATTCTAAATTCGGATTATAATGTTTGTACAAAAAAGCACAACAAAGAAAGAAAAGAAAGAAAAGAAAGAAAAATCTGTTTTCAAGAACTAGAAGAAATTGAAATTCTGACGAAAAGAACCTCTTTTTCATTTTGAAAATGAGCTGATATTATCTGGATACATTCATTTAGCACTGGAAATACTACAGCCTCCTTATCAGGGACTAAACGATTTGTAGCTAGACTGAACAATGCATAACATGTCATTACTGCTGATGAAATTCTGGGACTCAACTGAAATAAAGAAAAAAAGTGAAAATGAGCTGTTCAAAAAAAGGCGAAAATCGGAAAAAACGTTTTAAAGAATGATTTAAATTAATTGAAGAAATGAGAGCACAATTCAAAGACAAAAAGTGAGGACATAACTGTACAAATATAGGCAAACATGAAAATTAGAATCGATACCTCCATAGCTTCTAAATCCAAGCCACGTATGTCCATTACTGCAGTATTGATAGATTCAGCAAACCAACGTTGAAAAGTATCAGCATTAAGTTTTTGCAGACATGTGTCACTACATGAGCTATTTTTGAGAAGACGTGACATAATCACCTTACTGAATATCGTTAAAAGCTCTTCCTAAAAATAAAACAATAGACCAGAAATCTGTTTTAAGGAAATTTTGGGCAAGTTCCAAACAAAGTAAAGATTTTTGATAATATTTTTATTGCATTATTAGCACCTACTTTTTAATATTAATATGGAAAAATATAAAAAGCTCTACAAGTATAATTCCTCCTCAAACAAGTACCAAAACAATTATGAAATCATTCAGATTCAATTAGTTCTAAATTTCTACAAATTAATTCCTGTCGTTTTTAGATGAAATAATTCTGACTATTCGCTACACAGTGGCCATCCTAACAATGAAATGTACCAAAAAATTATTTGACAGATCAAATCTAAAAAAAATTTGTGTCCAGATAAAATTTACTCTTGATGCAAGATGTACAGACATCACGCGACGCACGGGCTCATATTGCTCATTTTTTTCAAGAAGTAGTTTATCAATAATTTCGGGAACAATTGCAACCGAATAGCATATCATCGGTACAACTCTGTCAGATGAATCCCGTTCTATTAAGCGTTGCAACAAGTTTGTCACCTTCCTCAACACTTCATTGTTCGTGCCATCCTAAGCGAAAGTAAATTAAAATTTACTCCATTAGATTACTCACTTCATTTATTTACGAAACAGATCCAAAAAGAGTTTACTACAAATAATAATTAAGGATACTCCAGTTAATGGCATGTGTAAAAACATCTCTATGTAATGCTTACTTGTAGCAATATTCGAGTACACAAGAGAACACATCGAATATTAAGACCGTGCTGTGCAACGGATGCAGGACGCGTTTTTAACATTAATGTTATCATCTTCCTAAAAAAATGACTGCCTAAAATTCTTTCCGTAAGGACCTTCAAAACACTAATATGATGACCTATTTACTACGTCGATACAAGAAGTCACATGCATAGTCCTACTTCTACTTTCCAACAAACTAACCAAAGAAAGAACGAAATAATATCACTCCAGTGCTCTTCACCACTCAGCTGATGCAATACTTCGATGAAATTCCGCTCTTTTGACGATGCTACTTGATGAAGTTCCAGGACTTTACCATCTGTACACCGATCACTTTGTTTACCCGACCAATAACGAACTGCAAGCACCACACTGTGCCACATATTGCCAACATCAAGTTTGTTTATAAACTGAAAAGAAAATTTTCCAAATGCAGAAAAATTCCCATGCATTCAGGATATACCATCCATCTTAAAATAAAAATACGCCATTATAAAGTACTATTATATTATTGAGTACATTCATGTTTTCGATAGATTTATCGGAACAGAAACTTGAAAACTTTCAAAAGATAAATTAAAAAAATCTACCTTAACACAACATTCAGCTAACTTCTCGCAAGATATTGCTGAAATAGCTGGTGTCTGGAACTTCTGAACTACTTCAAGTAACTTATCATTATAGTTATTTTCTGAGAGTGCCTGATCAAACAAACACATCACAGCAGCTTCATCACTTCCAACTAAAATTTTTGCCGAGGATGTGCCCATCCGTACTTTGTCACATCGAATCGTAGCTACATTCTGCAAATAATAAAATAAACAAGTATAGGAATTTTACTTAAAATGCAAAAGATTTAAACTTCATTCACTTATAGCACACTATTGCTTTAAGCAGACAAAGAATACTTGGACACTTTTTTATTACAGTTAAAAGCATTACTTTAGCTTTCTTCAATTCATCTCCTCCGACAGGAAGCATTATTGCTGCCCTTTTTCGTTGTGCAATGTTCGGCCGTTCTATTTTTTTCGGCGTTGATAATGTCGAAATCACCTTATTTTCCTAACAAATGATGAGAATCAATTTATAATGACTTGCAGCACAAGACATTAAGTTTTGATCCTCAAACTTTTAGAGTTCCTGCTGTCAAATTTAAGAGTGCTGAATCTAGATAATAAATTTGCAAAATCAAGTAACGTTCCAAAGTGTTTTATTTTTTGCAAGAATTTTAACAGAATAGTAGCAAATTGATGCAAAAACTGACTAGGATATGCTCAATTCAGGCATTACTAATTCAAACCAAAAAAGCTGAGATTTAGATTGTAATTTAAAGCATATAAAGAAAGTTTTCAATAACAAATTTTTCCCCTCCCTTTTCATTAATTAAAAAAGTAAGTATAAGCAGAATTGCCTACCATAGGTTTACGCACTTGAACTCTTCCAAGTTCCTTCATACATGATGTTTGCATTGTAAGCCTTTTGCGCATCTTTTTGTACATTTCCGACCTCACTGTACTGATCGATTTCTACAAAAAATGGCGAAATTATTTCCGCAACAGAAGAGTCAGTTAACAAGCAATTTCATCATTCGACTCATAAACTTATAGGAATCGTTCAAACAATCAAGTTGCAAAGGAAAAACAAAAGTATTAAAGCATGTTCTAAATATGCATGTGTTAGAATAGAAATAAATCGAACCTTGGCCGTTAGTTTTGTCGTCTTAGTTTTCTCTGATCCAATGCAATTATTCGAAAAATGAATTTCGCCTAAAAAATTATATTTTCTGCATCGATTTCTTATTAGCATTGTTGATACTGTTTTTTGTTTCTTGAAGTTATCGAAAGGATAAGAAGATTTTTCTAATAAATACCTAATGCATTTTCCATTTTGATAGATGAAACTCCAACATCATCCGCAACAATTTCTAATCGATTGTCTTCACCATTATGAAGATTGCTTACTTCCATTCCTATAAACATTCTAGTCAGTGACATTCTATCAGAGGTACAAAATCAGTACGAATGAATTATATATATATATATAAACTTATGAGTTGAAGCTTGAAAACAAAGAAAATTTGAGAAGAAATCTTGCAAAGCATACATACATGTTTTTAAGATAAAATAAAAAGTGAACACAATTTTTATAAAGCTAATGTTTAAAAAATTTAACATACTCCAAAGGAATACAAAACAACAATAATAAGCAAAACCACATGAAAAAATATATTTTGCCAACTGACCGAGTGCTTCGATAGTTGACGTCATAGACTTATTCACATTCTCACTCTCCTCAATCTAAAATTCAAATTTATTATATACAATCGAGATAAAATAAATTAGACACCCAGTTTTAAAATATATCAAGTTTGCTTTCGATAGGTTCATTACATCTAAAATTCTATAAAAAGTAATAATCACAAATTACAACATACCACTGGCTCTTTTCCATAATCAACTTCAGACATTTTTGATTTTTGCGAAGATGTCGTAATTTGATTCGCATCTTCCCACTTATCATCTGCGTTACTAACTCTTTCTTCAACCAATTTACGCTTTCTTGCTTTACTTGCCATCTGTTTATTACTCCGTGTCACGCCTAATTTTTCGGATTTTTCAATCTCAGCACTCTTTGACAAAGATTCGACAACAATTTCAGAATTTTCCGATTCTACTTCTCGCTGTACCTGCGTTGTTATTGACCGAATGCTATTTTGTTTTTCCTTCGTAAATTGATTTTCTAACTTTATAGTGCTTGAAATTTCGTGTTTCGTCAAATTATCCCAATCTTTTGACGACTTCCATTCACCTGACCTCTTCCATGATACTATCAAATTCGAAACTTCTTTTCCCGACACTCTCTGCGCTGCTATGTTGTCATCATTTATAGTCCGATTTCCTGTAACTTCGCCCGACTTTGCATTCGCACTTTCCTGCTGCGTCAACACAATTTTTGTTCCCATGTCATTTTGAACATTGGTAAATTTCTTATCGTCAGTCATCAATTCTTGGCTCTCTTTGGAAGATGAAAAATCAATTACTTGTTTCCTTCTCGATGAACGTCGTAATAATCGTTTTTGTAAAACAGGATTATCGATGTATTCCTCGAACTTTTGGTCATTTTGGATAGTTTTTAATTCAGCACTTTTATCCCTAAGCATTTCTAGAGCACTTTTAATCCTATCTTCTGGTAGTCTTATAAGATTTTGTTCCTCTTCTAAATACCTTTTTCTACTAGATACTGCTCTTTCTGAGGTCATTTTCTCGCTTCCTAACCACTGCGTCATGGAATCTTGATTTTCCTCTAGTTTGTCTTTTTCAATATCAATACATTTTGTGGTAATTACTGTTGGCAATTTCGAAGAGCCATCTATAATTCCTAAATGTTTGTCTTCATTTTTTGTCTGCGCTTCATTGAGTTTTGTTTGTAGCCTCAACGGCACAACACATTTAGAAACAACAGTAGTAATAGTAGGCGTTGACGTTTGTATAACTGTTGATGCATGCGCTTCCACAGAGAGTGTTTTCTTGATGTCACCTGAGATTTTGAAATCTTGCATGGATTCACTATCCTGCAAAGAATAAGAAAAAGATTAGCAGTCACAGAGATAAATGTTTGCTTTTATAAATCCAACTCCCATGTGCAAATATTGTCTAATCATTTTAATCAACAAAACATTTAAAAAGATGAATTCCAGATCATATAGGTAAATTACTCTACTGCAAATATGCGTTCGCTGCTCGCATACTTACCTCCAACAACTGAATAGAGGATGAAGCATCTTCGTTTATTTTCTAAAAAATCATTTTCAGGTCTGTAAAAATCCATTTTGTAACGAAATTGTATCTTCCTCCCTTTTAGATAATAAGAAATTCCATTCCTTACGATATTAAATAACATAACACTCACGGTTTGTTCATCATGGATATTCGCAGCAATTTCCATAGTAGAGGAAAGTGCACAGCACAATGAATTAGAATCTTCAAACGCTCCAGATGCGAGTACCGTGCTAGCTGTTATAGAAGAATATGTAGGACTTCCAGGGACAGGAGACAGTAATAAAGGTTTAACTTCTGCTGTCAACATTGCATCAGCTGCGCTGGTTATTTCGGACCTCGACTCCGTCTTATCTTTCGGAATTACGCAATCTTCAACTGAGCTTGTTGATGTTCGTCTGCTTGATATACTAGAAGACAATGGTCCAAAGAGATTATCCACACAATCATCCAAACCGTGTTGTCTTGATAACTAAAAATTTTTTCATTGAGAAAAAAATAACCAAAATGATGTTGAAAATACAATGAAGTTTTTATTTCAATAAATTATCATGCATCAAAGACTCGCTATAAAATATCTGTAAAAATTATGCCTCAGAAGTTTTAGCATCCAAAAACATTGGTCTGCTTAGTTCTGGAAGCAAAGGATCCAAATGCGCAAAGCTAAGCCATATAGAAAGCCGTTCACTACCTTTACAGACTTGTTTTTTTTCATTAGTTCGATCCGAAATCTAAAATTACTCACATATTAGTATAAAATATTACCTCTACAGTATATTACCATCACCCAACCCTTTTTAGATTTAATATAACTGAATTCCTAACAAAAAAAACCCAAAATAATCCTTTTCTCCATTACCCAGAACTATCGATTAAAAAAAGAAATAAGCAGAAAACTGAAGACTAAGTCGAGACTGACGTCCACTGATGTATTTCTGCTCTCTTTTTCCTTAGCTGATTTTGAGTTATTCTCATATATTTTTTGGAGAATATTCTTCTGCAACCCATTTTCACCTCGTTGCACATCTTTTTTAGTCAGTTCTTTATTTGTCTAAAAGCTATTTTTTTCTGAAAATTAGACAATACTGATTCCTAGAAGACTGCAAATCATAAGTATGAACAAAACTGAGAAGCAAAAAAATGTGCAAAATAAAAGATCATCCATATAACCTTTGTTGAAGATGAAGTGCTTGGGGTACATGCGTTTGTAAAATCGTCAAGTATGACTGAAACAGTTAACTGATTGTGATTAAATAAGGTAGGAAAACTTCATCACAAAAAAAAAACTTCCAAATATTCAGAAAAAATGAACTGTCAAAGATAAGTTTCGTTTCTTAGGCAGAAAACACGATAGCAGATATAAACTTAATCAATATTTCATAAAATTATTAAAAAATTCTAGAGCTGAAAAAACTTGGATATTAATAGTGTAAGGACCTGCATAATAATTCCAACAGATTTTTTAAAATTACCTTTTTTCTCTTCCATATTTGTACATAATGTTTCTTTTTTCTGTTTTTTAGCTAACTCCAACTGCCTTTTGCATGCTTGCGTCTTTTCCATATGTGCATTTCTAAAACATCAAACTATTTAAATTTTGACGCTAATTAAATACATAATTTCCCTAAAATTTAGATGATATATGAAAAGATAATTATCCTCTAATAACAACCATATGACTAAAAAATGAATTATTTCCTCATCGTATATCAAATAATGGGTGTTTCAACCAGGTTATGTGTTCATGTGAATCTTATATCATTGCTTTCAGTTACAGTTAGAATCATTTTTATAACTGAAAAGAAAATTTGTCGCCCAGTTCGTCAAAAGCTGAAATGATTACAAAAAAAAAAAACTTGACATTGGGAAAAGAAAAGTTAGCAAATTCAAGCAAAGACCCAATAATTTAATAGCAGAAAAAAGAAAAATAAACAAAAGTTAATAGACAGAATTCGCAATCTAGGATCGAGCAGAATTTATAAAAGTTTCTCTGGAAGAATTTAAATTGAAGTAAGAATAGAGCATGGATGCTTTAACTGTGATCTACGGAAAAGGATCATTAAATATTTAGAATTACAAAAATGACAATTATGAAGAATCAACCACGAGATCATGCACTGAGTGATATACTAATCCTAGAAGAAAATCATTTGCTTGATATGTTGATATGTTGAAAACAATGATATGTTGAAAGCCTACATCAGGAGAATAGAAAATACCAATGGGCAGTCTTCATTTTCTAATCTAAGAAGTCGAACTATTTGTAATATTTTTTGCAATTAATTATAAAAACAGATGCTGATGCAGGATAACTGTTTGAATTTGGACGAAGAATATAAAATAATTATGCACCTAAAATCCTGGGGGTAATAAATTTTGCCTTCTAATTCCAAATTTTTCAATCACCCAGCAGAAGTTGACTTTGAATGATTTCCAAGCATAAAATAAGCTGCTCATGAAATTAATTAGTATAAACAAAATAGAAAAAACTCCGCAGCACTCATTTTGTGACCAATGAAACTTTATCATTATGAGGAATACACTTACGAATTAGGCTGAATCTTCGGAACGGAAACATGAAGAGCTTCCATACTTTCTAACTGCTTTCTTAAAAAATCCTCTGAAATAAGATTTTCTACATTAGTTTAAATATACAAAACCAATTATTAGATCGCGGCTACATAAAATATAACTATAACCTTTATTTCCAGAAAAAAGATAAAAATTCTAGTCTCAATATTATCTACCCCGAACGCACTTTAAATAACATAATTCAATGAAAGAATAATGAATCAGCGCATTCCTTACAGTAATGGAAAATAAATTATGCTCAGAGAAACGCAAACCATGCAAATTTTGCGAAATGGGAATTTTTATAATTCTGAGTTTAATTCATCATGCATTTTGGAAAATCTATCTATCCATACATATATCTGACCTTTTTCAACCGCTTTAATATTTAATACTTCTTCCACTAAGTTTGTCGAATGATCATTACTTTTTTCAATATTCCTCATTTCTTCCTTAGTAGTTACTGATTTCTTTGACGGTCTCAGACGAGGTGGACTACCAATTGTCAGCAACAAATTTTCCACGCTCTTTGCTAATTCATCTGAAAAAGAAATTATTTAAATAACATATTTCGGAAATCAGTGCATCACGGTTGCATTGCATCCCATATTCCAAACCCTGTGATACTTACCATGTGTTGTCATTAATTTTTTCGGCTTTAGAATTTCCACCGGAAAAGAAATTTTGATTAAGTTGATTGATTAATATAAGAGAAATCATACCATCATCACTACTTTCTTCGATCGTTCTTGTACTAGATTCACTTAAGTTTGTCAATTTTCTCGTTTTTCTAAGCAAATATTCACGCAAATCATCTTTATCTTTATATCGCGCAAGACGTTTTTGCAGTGGTTTTGTCATTAAACCATTATTTTCAATAATTTCACCTGCAAATGACGTGGAAGATATTTCTAATCCTTTTTTAACTGCTTGGACCATTCAACTGATGCCGTCCAAAAATATTTTTCCAACATCTACAAATTCTTCCTAATAATTCAGAAAAGTAAAAGAAATTTCGATCATATGGCTCGATCTTCAGCGAATTAAAAACAAATCTATTATAAATTTATTATAAGAATAAAGAATCACACCATTAATAAAAGTTGTGGTGAATGAACAAATTTATTTCAAGGAGTAAAAATTTTAGAAATTCTATTTAAAAAACTTTAGGAAAATTCTATGACTTTGTATATTATAAGAATTAACTTCCCACAACATTGAAACGGCTATACACAAAAATATGAAGGTGATACTTACCAAATTCGAGAAGAAGCCGAAGCATTGCTGGACAATGAGATTTGAACGGCTCTAACTTTTCATTCACTGCTTGTAGTTGCATACATTTCTTTTCCAGTTGTTTCATTGAATCATTTATTTTCTTCAAAAAAATAAAATCTTGTCAGATTGATCTCTATAAGTTTCATCGTTCGATTAATGTTTGCTTTACAGGTTATCTGTTAATCACTTTCGATATAAAAAAAAAGATTTCCAAAAGCGTCATATCTAATGTGTATCGGATTATGCATATTATTTCCCAACAACTACAATCAACAATGTTCATGAAGATATACAAATCTTCCAGATCGCTATAGTGATATTATCGATCCATCAAACAATTGCTCCCAGGTTTTCAAGTTTTATTTTATTTTTCTAAAGAGATAATGAAATTTTCGAGCTATAATTCATGTTCGTTTAAAACAAAAATACTAAAGAATTAAGAAAACCGGAAATTTTTAAAAATTTTTTTCACATTTCAATCGCTCAAGATTAGTAGCTAAGAAAATCTACCGACGCGGCTTCCACACTTTTTAGATACTTTGCAAGCAGCTCTTGACGCGCTTCCTTTTCAGCCATGAGATTCTCCATAGCAACTTTGCAAGTTTCATGATACTTCACTGATTCTTCGATTAAACGCTGAAAGTTTAATCAAAATCTAACAATTCAATGTATGTTTTCTTGCTTTGAAAGGAAATAAGCATCCCAAAGTGCACTATTACTCTGTAAGCATTAATTCTCTGAGTTATCTTATTCGGATCAATCAGGTTTAGATACAAGAAAGATATATAGTAAATCCCTAAGCTTAAAAAAAATGAATCAGTACAAACCTGATTCCTCCGCGCTGTGGTAACCACTTCATCATACTGTCTCTTTAGACTGTCATGACTGATCTAAAATTCAGACGATTTATACAGTTTTACAAAAATTTTTAAATTTACGAATTGCAAGCCAAATGGATTATGAGAGAAAAAAACTGGAGATGTACCCGCAAATTCTCATACTCTGCATACAGTGATGTGTGTTCTGCTTCCAACCTTTCTAGTTTTGAACGCCTTTCATCAATATATTTAGCTTGTTCTTCATTTATTTTGGATACCTGTTCTGTTTTCTAAAAAGAATCATACCTTTTTAAATTATTCTGCTAACAATGAGAAATTTCTAAGAGAAGTTAAGTTCAAAAATTGAAATTACAAAGAACTAATCTCCAACAGCTCTTCGTTACTAACACACTCTTTATTCCTTTAACTCTGTCAAGCTTTAATGAAACAAACGCGAAATAATAACTTTTAGTTCTTTCTGAAGATTTTTAAATTGCCCGCTTAAGGAAGCTAAAGCTTCCTCAGCAATAATAGTATTCAATCTCATCGCCGTGCATTTTGGACAATCTTCTTGTGATTCTTCTGCGCTACTCCGATTCTGTATTCCACTGGAACCTGCTTCACTCAAACAACCTTCCGAAAGCTGAAACAATTCCTTAATAATTTGCATATTTCTGTTAACATGCCAGCAGGTAGTATCTGCACTGATTTTTATCTACGGTTGACGCATTCTCATTTTTGATTATACAAAGAAATAGCAACGCTTACCAATGGTCATTTTTGTCTCTCTCTCTCTCAGTGGCTCAAAAAGATTAATAAATCAATTCAGAAGAAAATACAAAAATTTTGGAGAACTTACTCCAGAAAAAGTTGAGCGAGTTGGTGACGATGAAGTCATTACATCCTGTAAAAATTTCAAATTAGAAAAAGAACAGCATCCTACTTTCAACACATATCAAAAATCTGAATTAAAGGTAGGAGCAGATTTAAAGGAAATTGCGCCAAATTAAATTAAAGGTTAGTTCTCTTTCAGAAGCATTTCTATACCTACTTGAGACAAAGTTTGACACTTTAATCTAGCTATTTTGGTTAGATCAAGTTTTAAAGGAAATGTCAAAACTATTCTGCCAATCAACATGAACTAAAAAAGAGCGAAATCCAAAAGTAACGCAACCAATCTTCTATTTCACTAATGGGCTGTCCCATAGGGGAAAAATGGCAACTTGTCTAGCTAAAACTTTTGGGATCAATCATATGTTAAGAGGTCTGTCCTAATGACAATATAGAAAATATGGGAAATGGAACTAAAGCTACTGAAAAACATTACTGTTAAAATTTCAATAGTTGAAAAACCATCACTCCCATTACAAATTTTAAAATCTGAGTTACTTTTATGAAATCTCCAGCAAAACTGTATATCTTCTCACAAATAATGCTCCATACAATAGTTAGTCTACTTTAAATCTCATAAAACCAATTCAGTAAGGTACCAAAATTAACCACAAAATTACCAATCGAGAAATTTCCCCGATGGTAAGCTGGAATAAAGACATACGGAGTCCGAAAATTACATAAACCAAAATGCACGCAAAGTTCGAACGCCAATGGGTTGTATGATTATGTTTGGTTCGGACGTCGTGTGGTATTCATTGTAGATTGGGCAAAGACGGAGGAGATGAGGATAAGTTTTAATAATGTCGGCAGTGATTCAAGAGCTAATTGAGCCATTGTATTCCCGCGATAAGTTGCCTCGCAAAAAAGTGCGAGAGTTTTACTGAGTCATTACTCCCAAATTCAGTTAAAATTCAAGTTTTAGACTCTTCGCAGAATGAATAATGCATGGTAGTACAACAGTAGCCGTTGACGTTACTCACCCAGTGAAATGCACGTTAATCGACTGGATACGCTTACCCGATCACGTGGTTTGTGTTTAGCCTCCAGCGGACATACGAGCCATATCCGCATACACATTTACACTTAAGTTGCATGGATGTGGTGGAATTTATGTTTTAAGGTGGCAATGAATTGAATGAATTGAGATGAATCTGTGAAGATTGAATTATTTATCAAAACGGGCTTGATTTATCACCAAACGTTAAATTTATTTAAAACATACTGTGGGAGAATTTCATCCTGCTTTGTTATGATCTGGAACTATATTATTGGTGGAGTATTATAATGTAATTAATGATGGAATTTTCGAAATTGCTTGAAGTTGCCATTTAAAATATTTTGAATTTGAATTTGAAGAAGTGGCTGATTTTGAATTTAATTGATTTTACTTCCTACAACAGCCACTGAAGCAAAAAACATTTGAAACAAGTTCTGGTTGCTAACTGCAAAGAAAAATCAGCTAGCATTAATTACAGCACAAATTAAAATAAAAGAAATATCTCTGAAATGGTATTCCGGACTTTTGAGAAAAAATGCAAGCTTGTTATTTTTATGAATTCAGTCTTAGTCTTGATGAAATTTATGTAATTTTGAGGAATATGTGATAGAAGTGAACAGTCAATTGGGAATTGGGAAGTCGTGGCGCATCCAGCGACGTTATGCACAGTTTCGGTATTTTATATTTCTAACATAGCTATTATGTAAAGTGATCTTCAGCTTTTCTTCTGAACGTTTACATTTATTATCAAAGCAATTTTTTAGGAAGTTGAATTCACAGGTCGAAAAATTTGGTGCTGGTTTAAGATTCCCTCCAAAAAAATTCATTGGGAATGCAAAGGAAGCATTCATCAAACAGCGTATGCTGGCTCTGCAGGTGTGCATTTTTCTTATATTAGAAATTGATGGGAATTAGGAAAGAGGAAAGAAAGACCGCTGCAAATTCAACTGGAATTTTCTGGATATCAATCATGTAACATATTTCCAACTTGCCAAACAAGCTAAGATTCGCTGTCTGCCAATCGATTTAAACACACGCTTTACAACTGGCTAAACAGAATTGAATCATATCCGATCAAGATGCAGCACGAGTTTCTGTCAGTTAATCTTATAATGTAGTTTGTTAATAAATGTAATCTAATCTTATAATGTAGTTTGTTCTAGTTACAAAATCAAAAATATTGTTCCGAACCACTGTTACAAATATGTTGCGTAGAACTGATTGCAGGAATTTTTGGATGCTCTCTGCCTACATCCGATTCTGTATGCATGCCCAACAGTAGCTAATTTTCTCGAAAGCTTCACCGAAACTTACATTGGTAAGGTAGCAGTTTAGTTATAATCTGAAAATCGTAATTTGAAAAGTAACTGGAAAATTGTAGTATCGTTCAAACATTTATGTCTTTGTGGATTTAGGCAAGTTTAATTAGCAGGTATAAAATTGTTTAGTTTATCTGCGTTGCCTCCTCAGGAAGACTCAGACTGATACTTGTACAGGTTTGCATGAATGGATTCTTTTATCGTTTCGCGATAAACGTCAGTGGATCATTAGGCAACAAAGAAAACATTGTGGTTGGCGATCTGGCAAAGTACACTATGAAATTAGATGTGGTTCTTTAAAGTTGATGCTTTCTGGCGTTCGTTATGGTCCAGATCGTTTCGGAACAGTGGCAAGTCTTAACAGTGCCCTTGAATTCTTTCGGACTCTGCATTGTCCACATTTAAATGAAAGTGTAACAAGCTGGGCCACTGATGGTGGAATTATATACATCAGACCTATTTTCAAGGAAGGAACACTGCGTGATCGGCTTTATAAGGTTGGATTTTCTTTATTTTATGATAATGTAGTTTTCTGAATGGTTAAGTTTTCAGTTTAATTTTCTCTCAATCAATGACAGTTGAGCAGATTTGTATGGAATGACATTCTTAAAATATTTTTGTTTCTAGAGCAATTGGAAGGACGATTTTTTCACGAAATATAGAATGGATAGTCCGATTTGCTCATTTGAAACTTATGATATTCGCTTAATTTGTCGGCAGTTGCTTGAAACACTGACATTACTAAATGCGATTTCTGTGCCATATCGTATGTTTTATTTTTCAAATTTCATATAGAATGATAAATATTAACATTCCCGTTGATAATCTGGTTTTATTTCCTGCATTTTTTTGGAAATTTAAGCACTTACTTAATTTTTAAGCACTTACTTAATACTTGAAAAAAAATGTCAATTAGCTTTTAGAGAATGTATTAAAGTTTGAAATGTTATATTATTTCACATTTCACTTTATTCACTTCATTTTAATGCACATGTCACTTCCTATCCAAACACTGCAAAGTTCTTTTGCACTAAGTGACGGATATCACAGGAAAATTTGCCTTAAAATAAGCTACAGAGTTAAAGATATGTCATGCATTTCTGCTTCTAAATTTTCTCATTTTCAGTCGATGTTCATGCAGGAAATGTTGTTATCACAGAATGCGGTTGCGAGCTAATTGATTTAGATCAAGGTAAAGAATGCGATTTTTTAAAATTTATTTGTTTTTAAATTTCCAAATCTTTGCAGTCCTAACTGGACAACCAAGTTTTCGACGTCCTTCAATGTTGTGTTCTCAGGCTATTAATGTGAGTTCCCCAGAATTATTTTGTATAAAAAAAATTTATCATTGAATTTTACGCAATCTATTTCCTATAAGATTGTATGTGAAGATCTGTTTTTTTTCTTTTCCAGAAGACAGGAGTTTTAAACTTGTTTTTTCACACTTTTGTTCTCTTGCAACAAATCCGTTTCCTGCCATAATCCTTAGTAGCGCAAATTTTGAAATTTTAGTTTGCAAAAAAGAAAATGAATAAACTTAGTTTTAAAAGTAGAAATTATCGAAATTTCTTCAGACTCTCGAGGATATGTTTGTATTCACATTCGGTGAACTTCTATTCGAACTACTTACGGGTTTTTTCACGTTTCCCATGCATTCAGCGAGTGAAGCACTTACCATTGTACCACCTATATTCCGTAAGTTCCTATCCATATAAATGAATGATGAGGCCTTTTTACACTCTGGGGAAAGTTGATACTTCCTATATTAAAATATTAATTTTAAAGGAGAAATTTCCCATAAGCCCAATATATCTATTTTAAAATGTGATTTATTAACAATATAAAAGAAAATATTAACATAAAAATTTTTTACAGTGCCTTTATTAAATTCAATATTTTTGGCAGAAGTTCGCTGTTTACCACGGCTGCAAGAAATAATCAATTCAAGGCAAGTGATCTTTTTTCGGGATCTAAAGCCTTAAAATTTTCTCATTCTTGGATGCTTAACTTTGCACCGAATTCGAATCTCTGTTTCAGTTTATTTGTTGATGTCCCGGTAGCAAAAATGAAACAAAGAGAGATTCGTATACCGGGTGATATAAAAGAAGTACTCGATGGCCTTTGCAATAATATGTTGGAGAGGTATAAAAGAGATCGCTGTCAGGTAATTTTTGAGAATCTGACATTTAACGAAATATATTACAGTGGATCATTCTTCCTATGGAATCAAGGTTTAAGGGTTTTTTTCATCAGAAGATCATAAAGTATTGATTGACTGATATGATGCGATAAACAACTGACTGTAATTTCGTGCTACAAGCGCATGTTTGTTCGGTTTTAGACTAAATGCGAATTATTTAAATGCATTATTTTTAATCCTTAACCATTCTTAATAACTGAACTCTCAGCTAGCTCTTGTTAATCGAGAGCTTTGTTCCATTTCTGTTTCACATACCCATATTGACAGAATGATACCCAATTGCTCTGTAAAATTCAATAATTTCATTAACTTATTCATTTTATAGTTTAATAACATCAAGAAACAACAAAAATTTGAACAACTCCTCAACTCAGAAGCAGAAAAATTGCGACGAAAGGAAATAATTAAAGTATGTTATCTATTAATGTAAAGTTAGTTGGCTTTAAAAAAAATTTCCCAGATCTGTTCGAAAATTGAGCAGTTTTAAACAATAGGCGTGAAAAATCATTAAGGAACAACTGAAATCACGAACTGTCGAGGAAGAAAGCTGCTGAGAAAAGAACGATTGAAGTATGTGCAACAGTGAACTTTTCGTTTTTAAACCCTGCAATACAAACGGAATTAACAAAAAGTCATCCGATGCAGTATTGATAATGTATTGTCCCTATACAAAATAATCTGGTGTACATAAACATTATATGTATTTTACATTACTGTTTTTTATTAAATGTGAAAAGTTTGAATAGATGTAAAAAGCTATTATCCGAATTAGTGCCTTTTTGTAAAAGTCGATAAATCAAAGGTTTTAACTGGAAAATATGCTATTAAAATTTTAATTGAAACTAGTCGGTGTTTGGATAATTAGTCCCTGTTATTGCGTGTAGAAAAACTGTCTGTTCTAGCCTAAATCATATGAAAACTTATCATATCGTACATTTTGTGGATATGATGTGCTTACATACGTGGGACGGTGAGCTATTCAACTACCTATGACATTTCAAAAGAAAGGTAAGTGAGAAAACAACAACTTTTTGACGATTTGTACGACATCTTCGTCGTTCAATACATGTTCTTTTCCCACTCTTTGTGGATTATGTTTCGCCGAACTTCCCCAGACGTATGCACTGGAAACAAAAAAATGTGGCATTAGAACATGATAAACAGCCACTAATGATATTGTCTAAATTAAGCATAATGCGGTTTATAGCATATAAAAAATAGATTAACTTATATAGATATTTCGTTTTATTGGCTTATAGCTTGAACAAAGGATTTTGGAAACAGCTTACAATTTGAAGTCCTTCTGGAGAGTTTTATGAATTTTGAAACATAAATCATCAACAGTTCGTGTTTCTGCTGGTAATATAATGGGTGCATTGTAATCAGGCAACTGTCCTTTCGGTTTGGTGTATCTGAAACAGTTTCTGCATCTGCCACGGTTAATTTGCTGTCGGCTACAAGAAATTGAAAATGTTCATTCATAAATAAGATTCTGAAGTTTCTGTAGGAAATACAGACTCTGCTAACTTGGATTTAGCATTTAAATTTTCAATTTCCATTTTGTTGCTCTGGAGCGCTTGGATAATAAAGTTGTAAACTTACATCCTAATGAGATTTAAATAATCCCATATTTTTTCTAGCAAATCATCGAAGTTCCACTTGTGATGCGCAGAAATGGGCATACAGTGGGGGATTTTATATATTATATCTAATTCCTGAAAATTAATTTAACCTAGAAGCGGAACCAGGAATAAATTTCTCCTGAAACAAATCTTGAAAAAGACGACCTCACCTCTATTGAAATTTGATCGATTTTGTTTAAAACATATATACATGGAATATAAATCCTGCAATAAACGAAAACTTTCGTAAGCTTCAAAATATATAATCCAAAGATTCGTAAGCTTGAAAATATATAATCCAGAAAAAAAGCAGCACTAATTCCAAATCGTATCCCAAAGTAATAGGAGAGGCGAGAATTAAGAATACATCAGTTCTACTCAAGGCACTAAAAAAGAGATAATTCGAAGCTAATTACCTGTTCCCTTCAATAACATCAATTAAATCCTCCGATGTAGCATCATACTTTAGAGATACGTCGGCATTGTGTATACGATATTCTGCTAAAATACTTTTTACTATCTCCGCATCCAGTTCCGATTGTGGGACCTAAGAATAAAATTCTAAGGCACAGCTGTATAAAGTAATTTCAATTTTATATAAATGCTCCAGTGGATATCACAATGTAAAGGGTTCAAATTACTGCAGCCTTGAATTGGCAATCAGTGGTAAGATTATTGCAAGAAGTATCAAGTACGGTTCTCAAACGCAAACATGAAAACAGCGGATGGCCAGATACTGTCGATAAGGATACTAATGAATAAAATGGCTTACCAAACAAGTTAAATTTAGTCCACCTTTTTCTTTACGTTTAAAAGCAATATTTGGCGGTGATTTATTCAATCGTATGCCAAAGCCTTCCAATTCCCGTTCAAGCAATTTTTTATGTTGCAGAGGCTTCATAACATCCAATATCATCAAAATTAATGAACATGTTCGTGCCACTTAAAACAAAAAGTCATAACGCATTTGTATTCACTTACAATCGGTAAGATGCAATATTATAAAAATAAGATTTAAATCGCAACTGAAGGCTTCGAATACGATTTCTAGACTAACCAGCAATTACTTGTCGACCACGTCCTTTTCCATCTTTTGCACCCTCAATGATTCCAGGCAAATCCAAAAGCTGCATTTTGGCACCTTTATATCGAATGACACCTGGTACCGTCGTAAGGGTAGTAAATTCATATGCTGCTACTTCCGAATAAACACCAGCAAGGTTACATAGTAGCGTCGATTTACCAACCGACGGAAAGCCTGAAAGAAAAACTATCTTTGAGCTAGGTTTAATCTTTTTGAAATGTTTAACATTTCAAAAAGTTTGAAGTTTGGTTTCGATTCATTTTTCGAGAAATCATTAATATTGTGATAAAAGCTGATAATGTCTACTTCTAATCATGAATTAACTTTAAGCATAACTGGAATCCCAACTTCTTTTATGTCCCTGCTATGACGAAAAAAATATTATATATGTAATTTGTGGAGGTGCAAAAGCGCTTAGTGATCACTCGTCTTTAAGAAAGACTGGAGTTTTTGTTCGTGCACATATTTTGACATTTATTCCATGATGAACTCTAATCACAAGCAGTCAAAAGCACTTAATGGAGTAATATTTTTCAGTGATTTACCAATCAAAATTTGCGACAAATTTTGCCTTTCAGATAGGAAAATTCAGTAGCTACTTGAAAATATCCACAAAATATTTTCAATCTCTAATAAAAATCATCAAAATTCTGCGAGTTTTCTTCACTTCCTTTTATTAATAAAATCATTAGAATGAAATTCCAAATATAAGCGTTCATTTCAGAAAAAAAATTTCTTCACTATTTTCGCTTGCATTTCATTTTTGTTTCTTGACTGACGTTTTTTTCTGTTGCTTTTTCAATTTTTGTTTTTTCGATTTTTCTAACCTAATTTATTAATTACAGTTCTAAATTAAATTTCAGAATTGAATTTTTTAGACTTAATCCGTGAAATATTTATTTCGTGAAGTGCTAGAAGAATAATAAATATTATAAAAGCTGTTTGCAAGTGAGAGCAATTCGTCATAAAATGTATCAATCTCAGTAAATTATTTCTCTCATTTATTTTACGAATAGACTTACGTTAGATACAAAGGTCCATCTAATTCATATTTTTGATTCAATATAAATATGATTGTATTTGCTTGCTTTAAATTGTTCCGATGATAGAATTTCAGTCGATTTCATCGTTTTCTATGTTTTTTTTACATGTTTGCGTTTTTTTGAATCGAAAATATTTAAATTTCTAAAAAGGCTTAAAATATAAATTCCAATTTTTTTTTAAAAATTTGACAATAGTCCATCATAGAAAGGACAATTTATTCTTAACAAAATGATAAGGATTTTACATTTTACATGCCGGGAAGATTTTGAAATTCTGTTTAATAAAGCAGTAATATAGCTGACTCACTATCATACATTCAAATACAGGATAATTTGAGAGATATGAAGGTAATTTGCGAAAAAATTATCTAAATGCATTCCTTCGATAACTGGAAATATGTACAGATTTACAATATTGCTGGATAATAATGATAAGATCAGAAGATAGATATTTTGAGGGAATGTGTTTGTGTTTGTTTATCCATACGAGAAAATTGATAATTATGAAACTATCATCGATTCGTATATATTATATAGATAATATGTATATATTTATCGATACCACACTGAATTTTAACAACAATAAATATGAGTTTCATTGGAGAAGGATAGATGGAATATTGAGTGAAAAGATAGAAGCGAAAGGAAGAGAGGCCAGGCTAGATCAAGGCTATCCTCAAGCAGATTTATGCGAATATATATATGTGGAACGAAAGACCAGTATGAAAGAGGGGATGAGAGTGTTCGCAGTGAAATGGAGCAAATAAAGTAAAATGAAAGGAGTTGAGACTGACTTGAAAAATTTCACTCTATGCATCCAGCAGCATTAACTTATGCCACAATACAATCTGTATGTGTGTGTGTGTGTGTGTGTGTGTGTGTGTGTGTGTGTGTGTGTGTGTGTGTGTGTTATCGGCCTTAAAGATTGAAATTTTTTGTTGACGTACGAATATAGCAGCTGCAAATGCAGCAGAAACAAGGGATCGGCCTAGCATACGAGCCTTATCTTTCAATCGTGTTGTCGTAAATCTTACAAATGGCACGTGGATAATGGTAAGATCTGATTACAGCCTTAAAACTAAGGTAGCCTTTGGCTTTTACTACTGCTACTACTATCATTATATTCATAACATTTTATTATGCTCTTAATTCCATTCCTATCCTTTATTTTATATATATTATATGACGAATTTTCTCTAACAGCAGCATCAGCCAATAAAGACATCTCTCATAAAGTAGCCTCATATTCATGGGCTTCCGATTCCATTCGATCAATGAAAGTTAAATATCCATCAGCTACTACTACTACCATCATTAATACAACTACTACTACTGTTACTACCGCTACTACCTTTACTACTTCCCCAATAATCAGCAATGATCTGTTATGCAATAGTGATTCTGAATTTGTATGTGTCTGTCAACAAAATGCGGGTAATTTACTAAAACATTATATTCTATGTACTGAACTTATTGAGGTATATTTTATTTTAAATTATAGCATTTGGAATATTTTTATTTTAGTTGGTTTTCGTGGATTATTTCCATAACTTGGAATGCTTTAGTCAATACTTTATGAAGGAAAAGTAGCATATTGAAATATAAAGTGAGAAACTTAATAGTAAAAATCCTAAATAATTTCAGCTTCACCATAGAACTTTATTTTTTATCAGATAATTGAACTTGTATAGTCGAATCTGCCGAATTCAAAAATTAAGGAAATTCCGAAGTAGGGTTTCTGAAAAAGTTAGGCAATTATTTATGGGCTTTTTTATTCCTAAAAGAAAAGGAAAGGGAAGAAGAAACAGATGTGAAATTGATTTAATTTTTATCTGACAAGAAAATTAGAGATTTAATTTCTTTATCTGATTTCTGATTTGTTCGTAAAAATCTCGGTTCATTTTACATCAACTGATTGAATAAACAATTGGCCCAAACTTTATTTTCCTTAATCTTCTAATGAAATTCAATCAAAAATTCAGAGGACAGTGATATATCGACAATTCATGAATTTAGCTCAAATCTAGAAAAACTATCTGCTTTGCATTTCCACAAAATTCAGAATTTAGTCCGCTGAACGTCATAAAAAGGAAATTCTTTAGCACCTAAAATAACTTCAGAACTACTTGAAAACCTAGAGGCCAGAAAAATTCAATTACAAAGAACCGATAGAATGGATGCTGGAGTTATATTCCAATTTCCAAAACTTCTATTATGAATTCCGCTAACTGTCCTTTAATCCATATAATTTTTTTCTAGCAAAATATATTTGATGGATTTTGAGTGGGGAGACTTGGTCGAATGTGTCAGAAACAGGCGGAAATTGGAAATGAACCTTTATAAGTAAGAAAAATAAGCCCTCGTAACTTCAAGGCAATTATGTGATAAGTAATAAATATTACAAGAACTAAAAACCAAATGTTATCTATATTAGCAGACTGTAATGTAATTTTCAGGGTTCGCAGCTTTTTTTTTGCAAGAATGATTTGAAAAATACAGCACAAATAAAAGATAAAATTTCCTTAAATTTTTAACTGAATTGATCATAAAACACTTCTGTTTTCGGATATAACTATTGATTTTTTAGAATTAACTTAATAAATAGGAATTTGGAAATTAAGGAATTTTTGTATGACATAAGTCAGAAACTTCAATAAAAAAATATTAAATTATGATTTTTAAGTTGGATGAATTGTCACTAATTGAAATAAAAACAAAGATATTAAATTATGGGATTTTCCAGTTCGATGAATTGCCAGTAATTGAAATGAACATCAGGCGTGTCAATTTAAGTGCTCGATTGTATACCAATGAAACCTACGAATCCTATTTTAAACGTCGAGTTGCAGCCACTGTAAGTAAGTACTGCGAGCAACAAGCTAATGAATGCATGACCACCACGCTCAGGTTAAAAAAGGTAATTACCATTGAAAGAAGGAATAATAGATTTATCTGCTTACAACTGAATGATGATTTAATTAACATCAGTTGACTTATTACGAACAAATGCATTTGTTAAATCCTCTTAATGCACTTCACTGCACATTTTTAAAATTTCCATTATAATTACAGGTTAGTGAGCTTCTTCAAATTATATGCAGACAAACTTTTGGAGAACTTTTAAGCCATTAATATTTGAAGCCAAAAATGGATCCAAATGTATAATCAAGAACTAGCTAAAAGTTCAAGAAAGTCAGAACTGAAAACAAACATCTTCTTAATCTCGAAATTATTATCTTATTATAGGAAAATGTTGTACTACTTAGTATCAAACCAAATAATTTACAATCAACAACAATTGGTTTCGTGATTACCAAAAGTCAACGACGAAGTACTCTCAGTACTATGACAATTCTGGATTCTACTAAAGTGAAATATGTTCTAACGGCACAACTAGCTGCTCTGTCCCGCATTCTTGGTGGAGTACGTATCGAATACGTTGAAATAGCTATAATGGAAAAGTACCGAGACAATAATAATAGTGAAACTATACAGCGGGATAATTTTGGTCTTCTGCTTATCCTATCTATTACTGCTACATTTCTAACAATCACTTACACCATTGCTGCTGTCCGAGTATGCAGGTTAGATTTATTCACATATATAAATAACAACTAAATAATAAACGAATTTCAAAGTTAAATTTGCTGCCTGTCATTTAGTTTTGACATTAATGTTAACAGTTATTTTCTTAAACGTCAGTATTTCCTCTCTTCTTCCATCCATATTACAAGTTAATCAATACATACATATCTAAATCTTTCCTTAAGAAATATGTGCAATCCTTAATCTTTTTTGTATAAACTTTTTAAAAATAAAGTTACAGATGCAAATAATTGCATATCAATATGCGTGATATTCCAAGACTTTAACATCGATTGGCATTGCAACGCTCAGGATAAAAATCCTTTATTTATAGTTCTTCATTTAAAATCACTCATCCTAATTAAGCTCAAGCTCGTCACTGATACCAATCTGTCACTCTGTTTTTCTTTTTCAGCAAATTCTCACAGCAAAGACTCAAATATTTTTCCATGAAAATTTAACAAAAAGTGGTACTTACAAAATATTCCATAATCTCAATTTCATGCTTGGAAGATTTTCAAAAAAAAAGCAATGAAGCATCACTATTTACGAAACTATTAGGAAGGTATATATGTTCATACTCAAATTCCAAAATGAAAAAATAAATTCGACATCTAAATAAATTCTAGGTTTTGTTTTAATTTATAGTTATCCAGAATTAACTTATTTCTAACATAAAAAATTAGTGTGCTACGGATTAGCAACAGCAGTTAGTTGTATAAAATTTCTTATTTTCTTTGTTAAAGTTTTTTTATTCATCAGAAAATTGCAGCACTTTGTTAGACAAAAATTATATTTCAGTGATAGAAAAAAAAGCAAGCATCAAAATCTAAAATAAATCAAACGGAAATCCATTCACTCTTCATTTTTTACTTATTTCATTTTAACCTTATTTAATGTTACATATATAAGTGCAGAATTTTTCCCGAGATATTCAGTGTTTTCTGAGAAAACGTTCATTCGTTTCATCTATCACACACATAATATTTATTTCTCTATCCATTTGTATAAAAATATTTTTTTCCCATCACAGTGTGATTATGGATAGCTTTCTGACCGCTTAAAGTTTATCTTGATATTATTCATAATATCTTCTTTTTTCCTCTATTAGTTTACTTAATTCGACTGAACCAATCATATTAATTTTTGCATTTTAAACCTCCTTGGCATAGAGGTTAAAAGATTAAATTCTCCTGCAATTATTGAGCTAATTCCTAATTTCATCTGCTTTTTTATATAAAAGCTGATGATATTTTATCTACATCCTGACATTTCTTGCAAGTTTCAGTCATTAATCTTATTGCATAAATTTTCCTAACGCATCGAGATACGCAAAATGCAAGAATTGAACAATCCCGATACTGAGTAGGAAAATATCCAAAAGTTTCCAACAAAATAAACAAATTAAAAAAAACCTAACAATTAAATGAAAAAAAATAACATATCATAAGCTTTTGTTGCAAGGCTAATTCTCCGCTATTAATAGCATACAATGGCGTCACTCTTATAAGACAGCATGATACGACATCATTTTCTAAGCGATCAAAAATTATTTTATTTTTTGATTCAATACTTTCCAAGTTTTAAAAAAATTCTGAATCTGAACAACATTTCTACTGAATAAACAGACAGATATGCAAATATTTATGTCGACTGTCCAAAATTAAAAGAGATCAAAAAAATCACCAATTTTTCTAATCATCGATAGTGTAAAATTTTTATCAATTACCATAGATGAAATCTGTAGCGAATTTGAAAATCTTCTAGTTATTACTACCAATTCGTTATTTGTGCTAAACAAATATCTCATATTTTATTCGCTAATTCGTTAAAAAGTTGCCGCATATATTAACGCAACAATATAATCATTCTCCATCCATTCCTTCCCTCCAGAGACTCAATTAATATTCAAATAGAATTTTATTTAATATAAAATGTAATCTAAATCATAAAAAAGTATTAAAATACCATGCCAAGGCCTTCGGAACTAAATAAATTTCATATTTCAACCGTAAAGGTTTCTTTTTCCCTAAACGTAAATGTGGCTTAGCACCCAAATTGTGTAATTTTGTTTATGAACAAACTGTCCATGGATTTTGACAGTGGATAAGTGAAAAAAGTTTTTTGCCCGACTAAAAGTCATTCATATTTTTTCAAATTTTAATTTAAGCATCTAATTTAAACTGTTTGTCGAAAATTTTTTAGAAATGACGATTCCAAAAAAAGAAATCAATTCATGAAGTTATTTTTAAGTGACACAACAGTAAATAAATTTGAGTAGAACTTAATTTCAGAGACTGTTATGCAAAAAGACAAGCAAAGAAGAATGCTAGAAAACTGAACAATGCTTTCGAAATGCCAAATTACGGTACCTGTATAGAACTCAAACAAAATGAGGTGAGCAGGAGTTATGAAACTCATAATGCTGTCAAGGCAGGGAACGATCGAAATAATTTAAATCCGGAAGAAATGGCAGTTATGGATGCATACCAAATGAGGCGAATGTTCCAATGTGATCCATCACAGTTGCCAGCTGAAGTGCCGCTGTCACCAGAAACTTCCACTGATTTACTCGCAAGAGATGCTTCAAAATCTCTCAATGAACCCAAAAAAACAAAGCCAACTGTTTACCAATCCAGAAATATGGAAGAAAAAAAGAATTCTGCCCTCTCAGATAAAATTAACAAAATGTCTCAAGAAAAGGAAAACATTATTGAAGTACCTCAAAAAAACGCCAATATTTTGGCAAAAAATGAAGAAATTACCGAAAGATCATCCTATTGTAACTCTAATTTAACAACCTATTTTTGTCAATCTGAAAACGAATTTTTTGAACAGAAGATTAAAAAATTGCCGACATCAATCTCTAATCAGCCAATGGCAACATGCAATCAACCTGAAGCCATTCCTCAACTGGCTACAAATTTGAAAGAACCGAAAATTGATGAACACTTAGAAGCAGTCTGGGATCAACCTGCATTACAAAATGAATCAATTTGGTTGGCCGACAAAGAACTGCGAGACAAATCTTACAGCTTGAAAAGTTTGTTTTCTGAACCATCTTTCAATACGAAATCATATAATGAAGAAACAATAAAGTTGGACTTAAATCAATCAAATCAAGAAAGTAAGCGTCACACAGAAACTAAAGCAGTTGGCTTAAAAAGAGTTTCTCTAACAGATCAATTAAATTATCAACAAAAATCAGAATCCTCAGAATGTTTTGTAAAAGATAACAAACCTATTCATTTCATCCAAAAATCGCGAACAACTCAATTCGATAACTGGTCCACTGAAAGTGATGATGAAGAAGGTGATGTATATCATAAATTATCAGAAGCTGAGGAAGAGGAAGAAACAGAGAGGAATCCTGAACCTGCTGTTATAAGTTGTATGGCAAAAGTCAAAGACTTCACAGAAGATCCTACAATTTCTCAAAATGAGAATTATGGAATAAATTTAGATATGCAATCTTTTACCCATACAAAACAATTTAAAATTAATGCTGACGAGCCATGCTACAAACAACTGCAAAAATCACTGTTATCATCGAATTCATTGGATTTGAGTTCTACTTCTAACAAACCTACACCGGAAGAGTTTGCTAGTTTCTCACCTACAGATGATCTGAAGTGAAAATGTCACTGAAATTTTTTTTTCACTATTCCAATATGATCAAATCGAGCATTCAATTTTCTTATCAATTTGATGCTGAGGAGTCCAGTGTTTGTGATGATCTTACAACATCATTTCAATTATTTCTAAAAATTTTGTGCAAATTATAAATTGTCATTTATTCTTCTAACATTCCTCTGTATGGAATGACTGATGTATATAATAATTCAAGATGATAGCAGTAAAAACAGACACATTTCGCGTAAATATTATTCATTTTCATTTTTATTTATAGTAATAAAACTTAAAACTTTGAAGTGACGAGAACTACGTTAAACTATTCCTCTTTTAAAAGAAAATAATTATAACTAAGTATTTGTTCCTACGAAGCCATGTCATTAATGGAAAATATTTATTGATTTTCAAAGTGATAATTCCTTAGATTATTACATAAAGATGAGCCTTCATAATTTACAATTTCAACAAGGAATTTGGTGTTTCCCAGAATCTGTTGGATCTCGAGCAGAAACTTTCCCGTGAATCCTTTAATCAGTCCCCCAAAAGTCTAATTTTATTTTATATACGTAGACACATAATCTTGCTCTCCGTCCAGAAATGATTTGGAAACTGAGGATAATACGATACAAACCACATTTCACAAAATCTAAATTTAAAAAGTAGACCAAGTAAATACGAAACTAGTTTTTGATCCTATAGTAATACGTATTTTTATATTCCAGTCATTTATTCACTGTCATTCATTCATTTAATTACTGTTGTTGCTGTAATTGAACGTTTTTATTGCTAATGTCAGAAATAATATGTGCTATCAATAAAAACATATTCTTCATATCTTGTGCATTTGTTTCATGATAAAAAATCGAAGTAAACTTGAACAAATTGCTCAATGAAGGAAAAATATAAAATAAGACCCAAATTTACATTAAATAAACTTAAAGATTTCTAAAGAATTCAGAAAAATTTCTAGAAATAGCAATACCGAAAGCAAAGCTGCTGGACATATTTAGTAGTTTTCTAATTATGATAACATTGATCATTCATGCCGGTAAAAGCTGGTAATAACTAACAAAAAATGCAGAAAAATTTTATAAAAAAAGAAAGCCAATGATGCTGTTACTAGCAAATACTTTGATTTAACATTTTTTGTGCATTAAAGTTTTTATCGTTTTACAAAATGTAATGGTAACTGACAATACGGATAACTTGGTATATTAATGATTCTATATCTTTATTTCTGTTGGACACAGTTCATGTAGAGAAAACATGAAAAAACAAACTAACCCACAAATCCAATTCGTGCATCACCCGTTTTAGCAACATCAAAGCCTTCGCCAGAGCCACCACTCCCGCCTTTTGGTGTTATTAATTCTCGTCGTAACTTTGCTATACGTGCTTTTAACATACCCAAATGACCCATGGTGGCTTTGTTTTTTTGTGTGCGAGCCATCTGAAACACAATTAGATGCTTCACAAGATCCTCTTTTGATTTTACAATATTTATTTTATTAGAGTAATCTGCCTTCAGAATAAAATACCAACAAAAATCCTGAAAATATTTTTCACAAATATAAGCGAATAACGAAAACTCATACATCAATCACATAAAGTTACAGTTAATTATTACCTCGGCTTCGATTTCCGCAATTTTTGCCAAAATCGACATTCTGATTGAAGATAGTTACTCAATGGATAAAAGTGATTATCTGAAATATATTAAAGTTTGAAGATAAGAGGCTACCACAACATATATACAATCTTCCCATAAGGTAATCGCTGAAACTTATCACCAGTACTCCAAACATAGATTCCTTCCCGAAAATACCTTTTTCATATTTTCGAAATTCTAAATTATTTGTTATAAGAAAAATATGATCCGTCCTATTAAAAATGATCTATCAATTTCTTCCTTCATTAAACTGCCACGAATGTGAAGCAGTACCATAAGCCAGAAAAATGAAAACATATCCTGTGTACGAAATAATAATTCAACGTTCTAAAGAAACAACTCAGAATATATTATACACTTGATTTCATGCCCGAATCAAAGTCATGACTGAAAGATGGGTAATTCATACGTTGATTGATTGTTAATGCATAGTGTTAATTTCGTTCCCAAAACGGCCTTCGAAAATTCAGATGTATTTCCCACATGTGTAGAACATTTGAAAATAATAAAAAAATAGCTTTTGAGAAGAAATTTTATATGAACGTCTATCATAATAAAACTTTAAAAAGAAGTGAATAGTACCGAAAAAAACATGTACATACGGAGGAAAAATCATCTCTCAAATCAAGCAATTATAGAAATAATCCAAAAACTGAAAACTAAAAATAAAATACAACCAGGCAATCATATCAAAAATGACAAATTTCCAGAAAAACATTAAATTTGCCGAATCACATATCCATTTAAATGTTCTATCGAATTCAGATGCAGATCCAGTCCCAGCCGAGCACCAAATTACAGAAATGAGTTCCTGAAATTTTTTGAATAGGATAGAAAAGTGCAAAGTTCACGAAATTTAGAAAAAGTAGAGAAACTTCCTTAAATATTCTCAGTGCAAAATCTTAATTTCTCTAGCAAGATTTCATCATTTGCCAAATAAAATAACGGGAAAAAAATTCACGAAAGAGAAGAATAATCGAAAGAAGGCAATAATCTTATTTATTCTCATCACAGATATTATCAGCTTAAATTCAAATATGGCGCTACTAATTGTAAAAATTTAAAACTACTATATACCTAGTTCCAAAACAATCGGAACTAATAAAAAATGTAAGGTATCATTTCTAGTTTCTAGCTGAGCTCGTCGGCGCTCTTCTATATGTTGTGCAGCTGCATCGCCACTGATTTCAAGTCCACGTGGTACAAACATTTCTTGTTAGTTTCGCTGTCAAAGGCTGAAAAAGACAGGAATTAGCTACAACAGCTACAACAAAGAGCAAGCATTTAATCGCTGAAAGAATCAATATATATCGTACACTGCATTTCCTTAAAGCTTGACCTATATCTTTAAGAAGTATGAGCATATGCACAATTAATATCAGTCAAATATAGTAGAACAGTTCTCCATGTACATAAACAGTGATCTTCATTACATCATTTCTCATTCAAAATTTAAATGGTTTTCTGATTTAACACTAAATTACTTTGCATGTAAAATGACTGAAGATGTGATTTTCTTTTGAGTTCAAATGGCGGAAATATGAATTTTAACTTATTGGGAAACAGAACTTTGTAGAATTGTTATTTGAAAGGGAAAAGCATATAATAAATCTCGAGCAATATCAATTAATCAACTAACTGGCAATTTTAATAAACAAACAGCTAACTAGAAATAAAATAAATGAATGTTAGAGTCCACTACGTTACTGTATCCTAAATCTCATTTTCTGCCAGTGATAACATAATTTACCGGTATTATTTATGCGACAAAACTCAATGCCTCAGGATTCTTAATGAAGTCCGAAATAAGTTCTAATACTTCGATATAATTCTTCACTAATATGCTGCTACTAATTGTAAAAATTTAAAACTACTATAAAGTACTATATATATTTTTGAAATTTGGAATTTTTTTTTTAAAAAAGATCTGAAAAAGATAGCTGCACTAACAGCACAATTAAATTACACCATATATTACCGAAAAAAAAAAATTAATTCCAAAAACATACGAATACCCTAAGGCTTTATTCTTTCCATCTTTATAACATCCATTCACTAATTTTATAAAGCAGCAAGATATGATAATAGGTATTTATGACCTTAATTATTACTGAAGAGAAATAAGCAAAGTATAGAACTTTATTCACAAACGACCAAAAATATTTTATCTTTTAAAATTCTTCAAATCTTTTTCAGCCCGTATAAGAACATCCATGCTTTTTGAAGCGACTTTTGAAAAGATCTTAGCACTCCCGTCTTAAATATTACCTGAAACAAGCATAAAATTAAGCCACTAATCGTTACTAATCGTCATAAATAATATGCACTTGAATTATTATATATATACAATATATTATATAATATATTATATATAGTAAGCATAAATCATGCTTATTATACATTATAATTCACAAAACATCAAGGCCATAATAAAGGCTTATCACCCCCTGATATTATTATTCCAAGACTTTAAAAATAAGGAAGCATTCAATTTAAAGAAATCAGTAAACTAACAAACCATTTGTCTGCTCTTTTTAATGCTTCAATATTAGTTCATGAAATATTGTAGGACACTGAACAGTACTCGTAAAGGGAAATAATGACTGATCCTCTATATTTCCACTGGCAAACTTAAAGATATTATTCTCGTAAGTGAAACAATTTTTCAATGAAAGTCCGTTTTTTTCTGAAAAATGTCAATAACGATAACAGCTAAATGATTTGATTCTTGAAAAAACTATCAATAATCATTTTTGATTAAAACAGTAAGTCTAAAGTAAAAAGAAAACAGTATTTTCCAAAACCAAATCTAGGTTGTACCACTGTGTAGTTCGCTAATACTGAATAAAGCTGCATTACATGATTACTGTCAACTTGAATTCTACCTGTACAAGCTATAAATTTATCCATAGTTTCTTGGTTTCTTACTGTATTTGCTAGCAAACACCGCGGACCAGCTTTAATTTCTTTTGCAAATTCAATAAGAAGTTTCTTGATGGCAGAAACAAGTGGTTTTATTGTCAGTATATCGTAAACAACATCTAAAAAGTTACTTCGTTTCAAATATTGAGTTGGATGAATAAAAAATTGTGTATCTACACCTAATAAAAAATAAGGTGAATTCTGAACCTGTCGCAAAGATAACATCTGGTACAACAGGAATATTTCCCACATCTATGGTTTCCCATTCAAGAAAAATAACGTCGATTACATCACAATTCTGAAAAAAGATGGTTCTTAAATCCTCATCTAATATTTTGATGAATAATCCTACATTTACCATTAATGGTATGTAGCATCTCAAACAGCTAAGTTACTATTTTTTAAAGATTGGAGACGTTTTTAGTATCCTATGTTATGCCTTATTTCTTACAAAAATTTTCATATTTAATGTGATACACAATATTCAGCAGAATTACCAATAAAAGATAGAGGGAAATAAAGATCATAATTCAAAAAAGTGCTGAAATAATAATATATTTTTTTTGAAAGTGATGAAATAATAATATATTAATGTAATATATTATTATTTCAGTACTTTTATTTCCAATATTTTAACAAACCTTTGAAAAATTTGAACGAATGTTATCGTGGATTACATTCAATACATCAACATTCCCGTCAGAAAGTGTAACACTTTTAGCAAAACCAGAAGCAGCAAGTGCAATACCAAGCAGTCCACAACCGGCACCTAATTCTAAAATATTACTTCCATTGATATAATCACGACCGTGTTTCAACAAATAATTCGCTAAATCACAAGATGCCTGCAAACGGCGCAAGTTAGAACCCATGTGGCTTAGAATATAGTTTTCTGTATTTTTGTTGTTCGATCTTTATTTTTTCATTTCTTCATTTCCTCTATTTGCTTTACTTACTCTTCTATTTGCTTTAAAAGTTTATCAGATGTGTTCTATTAATGGAAAATTTTAACAGTGAACACAAAGTACCTGCCAACAGGAAAGACCAGTGGTTCCTTGTGATAACTGATAGCGGTTTTCTTGAACAATGATACATTTTGAAAACGATTCATCGAAATAGATTCTATCTACATACACTGTATTGTGTATCATAGAATTCGTCAAGCAACTGTACAACTGCCAGCCAATTTCAGCATGTCGCATTTCGAGCTAAATACATAAAGGACTTTTGCTCATTTCAAAATATCAAAGCAAATATACATTTAAAAAGCTGCAATAGAAAATAGCGTAATAACTGGGCTAGGAAAACTTCTGGTTGAAAAGCTCATACTTGTTCGATAATATATTTCAGAGTATGGCGATGTGACTTCCGGAAGTGGTACTTTTTGACGCAAGGTGATATTGTACAAAGTATGTTGCCAAGAAATTCTTGTTGTGATGAATTCATGCAGAATGACACTATCTTATCAAGCAATTCATAGCTAATAGTAGCACAAGCAAAGTATTCTCGAACAAACTGCGCTATTTCCTAAAATTATTGGATAGTTAGCAAGGCGAAAAGATAACATCAAACCTATCAATCATTCAAAAAAGTCATCTCCTACAGTATTACGAATAATGAAACTATACCTTTTTTACCAATTGTTCAGAAACCGCTGGAAGAACAGAAAGTTCGCAAGGATGACCTCTACGAAAGATTACAAGATGTTCGTCATCCATGAAGTTCTGATTTTCCTGAAACTAATAGAAGTGGCGAACAATCCGGCTGACATCAAGTACCCGAAAATGTCCGAATTGCCCCCTGAGAAGGGGAGAGGGACAAATGAGACAGAAATTGTGTAATGGATTCATTCCAAAAGATACAGCGAGATTGTCATTTCATCACTTTGATGAAATATGTCCGGTGAGATTGCCGGCATGAGAGGGATCAAAAGTAGTAGCGGAGATTTCAGGGATATCACGAAATTTACCGGAAGATTTAAGCATTGATGGATGAAACCATTTGCTCCTCATTGTTTTTTTTCACAAATTGAAGCAAAAATTTACTCATTTTAATTTTGTATATTCAGCATTGGCTGACATATTAGGTCTCGTTTCACTTCATTTAATATAAATCTTTGTATGCGTTGTATACAAATAAATTGAATAATTCTAGATACTTATCTGAAGGGCTAGTAAAAGAGAAATGTTGAATTATATACATATTCAAGTCAAGTTTATCGATATCTCTCTGTCTACTTGGTAAACTATTCAATTTAACTTATAGTTAACAGTTACGAACGGAAACAATCAATTGCTATCAATTATGGCTAATGTTGTTGGTTTGCAATGTACGGCAACATCTCAACAAACAATCAGTGAATATTCACGAAGAGAACTGCAGGAAGCATTTTCGAAATGTGATCCAGAAGGTACTGGAGCAACATCCATCAAAAATCTCAAGGTTAATTTTTTTGCGATACTGTGTTAGGACTCAGCAGTCATCGATCCCTTGAAAAAGAGAATAATCCTTTTAGAAATGAGAGTGTTTTAATTCGGCTTCAATGATATTCGAACTTACTAACGAAAATAGCTGCTATTCTCGAAGAAAATCATTTCATTTCAGACTATTCTTCGATCACTTGGTTTTGAACCACGAAATGATGAAATACGAGTTTTGACAGCAAAAATTGAAGAAAATGGAAAACAGCAAAGAGGTACTTTGTTTAGTAAAATAATGTGTAAAGTTGAAATTTAAGAGATATGATACTTCGTCATTCGTAAGCAAAAATGATAAGACATTTCTTTCTTCCCTCTTCTGTCGTCCAGTTCAAATATTGTAATAGTGGCGAAATATTTCGATTTTGTGTTACAAAATCCTTTTATGTTTGATGAATTTACAATATTTATTTTGCTGCTTCAGATAAAGTTACATTTAATGAGCTGAGTGATTTACTGAGTGAAAAGTTAGATGAACGTAATGGGATCAAAGAAATGCATGCCGCCTTTGAATTATTTGATTCCGATTTCAAAGGATATATCACAATTGATGATTTGCGAAAAGTTGCTGAAGAATTGGGTGAAACAATAGCAGAAGACCAACTAAAAGTAAGTTAGCTCAATACAAGAAGCCATCTGAGTTTTCTTTTTGATGATAATATTTTAGAATTTTTTTGGAAGTTCGTATTTATTGTCGAAGTTACAAATAAAACATTCGTCTGCACTTTGAAAAGTGCGCTTCTTGTGAAGTTCAAGTTATATCGTTTCATAATAAATGGCAATTGATGCTGCTTATGCTTAACTTCTATCTCTTAACCGCTATTGCAATTGATAGTTAAGCAATTAGTGTTATAGATTTTGCCTTGATATCTCCTAGGCGATTAATTTAGATACCGAATGTTTTTATAAGGTGATATTATATATGGATTTTAAACTGTTTGTTGGAAAACAGGCTGCAATGCATTTTTTGTTTGGAAAACAGGCTACAATGCATTTTATATTTTATAGGAAATGATTTTGGAAGCTGATACCCGTGGTAATGGTAATGTTTGCGAAGATGATTTTTACGCTATAATGAAGAAAACCTCACTCTATTAACTGATTTCTGATGAACGTTGCTGATTGGCTTGAAGAGTATTTAACTTTTTCCATTTACTATTTCTGACATTTAAATATTATTGTTGTGTTTCTCTCATTTTTGTGCTTTGTCTTGTACTTATTATGCATAATGTTGTTGAGTCATAACTTTATCCATTCAGACGGTTAACGTGTTGTGCTTATACTGTTCGAGATGAGATAGATTCAAATTAATTTTCTTCCAACATAGTAGCTCGTCTGGTCTTTTTGAGTCTTTAATTTCTCCCATTTATCTCCGTTTTTGATCAATGTTTAAACTTTCCAAAGCTTTCCAGTGTTCTCAATAATTGTATCTAATTTTTACTGTATATAGTATGTATATTATGCATTATTTCTTTTAACGATTTCCCTTTATCAAATTTTTTAATTTTCTTAAGTTTCTGACTTTATTCTTATACTTGCACAGTTCAAAATAAAAATTCTATTGACATAAGCTCAAATCGATTATGAATCACATAGGATCGCGTTATTGTGTTAATACCGTTAAATTTTATGCATTTTGTTCTAAAATTGAGGGAACATTTATATTATTATTTTTTCAGATTAAAGCAAACTGCCTTCATGAAAAAGCAATTTATTAAGTAT